ATCTGTATGCTGAGCAAATAATCCAAGAAGATGGACTATATGAAGAAGAACATGGCATCAGGATTGGAGGAAAATTCATTAACAATCTGCGATATGCAGATGATACAACCTTGCTTGCTAAAAGTGAAGATGACTTGAAGCACTTACTGATGAAGATTAAAGACTGCAGTCTGCAGTATGGATTACACCTCAACATAAAGAAAACAAAAATCATCACAACTGGACCAATAAGCAGCATCACAATAATTGGTGAAAAGATTGAAGATGTCAAAGATTTCATTTATTTGGATCCACTATCAACACTCATGAAAGCAGCAGTCAAGAAATCAGACAAGGTATTGCACTGGGGAAATCTGATGAAAAATACCTCTTTCGAGTGCAGAAGACCAACGATATCTCCTTGAAGATTGAGATGGACCTAACCCAAGCCCTGGTATTTTCAATCACCTCATATGCATGTGAAAGCTGGACAATGCATAAGGAAGACTGAAGAAGAGTTGCTTTGTGGTGTTGGTGAAGAATTCTAAAAAAAAAAAAACATGGACTGCCAGAAGAACAAACAAATCTATCCTGGAAGAAGTGCACCTGGAATACCCATTGAAAGCAAGAATGGCCAGACTTAGACTCACCATGCCCTAAAGAAGGATATCATGCTTGGTAAAGTGGAGGGTCAGCGAAAAAGGGGAAGACCCGCAAAATAGATTGGCACAGTGGCTGCAACGATGGGCTCAAGTATAGCAAGGATTGTAAGGATGGCACACAACCGTGCAATGTTTTGTTCTGCTGTACATAGGGTTGCTAGGGGTCGTAGCTAGCTCAGCAGCACCTACCAACAACAATATCGTGAAGTAACATTACCAATATTTGCTCAGACTTGTTCATTGCAAAGGAAAACCAGTAGGTCAAAATATTATTGACAATTTGACCAACATGACTTTATGCATATATTCCTTTTAACTTGGAAAAAAATTTAGCTTTGTGTTTCCTGAGTTGGGCAAAGAATTGTCAAGTGATCATGGGGTATGACAAAAAATTCCTTATAAAATTTAAAAATCAAATATTTGTTCTCCCCATCCTCTACACCCCCCACACACACACTTGAGAAAGAATCCTAAATATAAGTGTTTAGTTTTACATATGTGAAGATGTTGTGTACTTTCATTATTTTTCCCATACATAGGATACATCGGAACTATTTGTCACTCTAATTATACATTAGCCTGCCTTTTTGACTTTAGGAACAAGATAAATAAACAAGGGAAATCAATGAAGTTCAGATTATATA